ATTGCTGCTCTGTTTACCTTTTAAGCGGCGTGATGAACAGAATTATACCATGTGATGATTACATGATGAAAGGTTACAAACCAATTTGGCGGAGACTCCCAAGCAATGTTTAGGAGGCCCAGGGGGGCCCTCCAGGCAATTCTCTGCCAACTGGATTATGGGTTCAATGTTAGGACTTGAAGTGACAGAATTGCTTGGGCCCTGTAGTGCTGCTGGGGATTAACCAGACCACTTGGGGATTCTGAGGACCTCAAGTCCACACCTAGAGGGGCTTGGGGGTCTCGGGGTCTTTATCTGGTGATGCTCAGAGGGTCTTGTGGTACTAGGGATTAAATCAGGGTCAGCTGCATGCCAGGCGTGTGACTTAACCACTGTACTATCTCCCTAGCCCATAAACAACAGGTATAGAGTGAAAAAATGGGGTACAATGATTATATGGTGAAATACAGTATGCAGGTACCCCAGGGAGACTTTGTTTATTGAATAGACAGCAACATACAAACATACACACACGTGCAAGACATATGAACACATACACAAGTTCGTGTCTACATGCACTTACACCCATGCATCATCGTACCTCTAGATATCCAAGTACAAGATTACAATGCTATGTGCATTCTCACACATGTGCATTCATGTATATACATATGTGCAGTAACCACATACGTGTTTGTGTGTGCATGTGCTCACACACATGAGCATGTACCTTTTGAGCACAGAGCACATGCATATTCATGTATGAATACACACAGACAGGCACAGTCACACATGTACAATCCTCATGTGCACACAGACCATGCCTGCACATGCATATGCCCTGTGACGTGGGCCAGCAGGTGCTCTTCCCACCCTCCACACCCCCATCCTGCTCTGCAGGAGAGACTGACATGTGAGGCCCCCACCGCCTCTCTGCAGGCCCAGTCCCAGAGTCAGGTCATAGCTTTGGAATCTCTCTGCTTTCCTCAGTCATTTCTATTCTCCTGCCATCACTGAGAGGAGCCCCAGCGGGATGCATCAGAGGTTGCTTGGGTGGTCAGCGACCACTCCACAATCTCTCTGGCCAGGTGGCCCTGCCTTTCCTTTGATGCCACCTTGGAGTCTGGGCCCTGGGGTAGCTGCTGCTGTGAAGATTCAGGGCTGCTCACCTGCTTTGTCAAGTGCTGTCCAGGCAATTGTCCAATTCACCTCACACGTGCCCATCAAGGGAAGTCACAAAAAGAGATAATTTGGCAATTCCTCAACCCTGTGTCCATCTTAGCAGGGCAGTCAGCACGCCCATTTGAACATCTGACTCTTGATCCTTCCCTTTTGTGGCTTGGATAAACATTTCAGCTTCCTAGCCCAGTTATTCTATGGGCCTGGAGAGATAGGCCACTTGCCTTGCACACAGATGAGCTGGGTTGCAGCTGTGGCACTGAGTACAGACCCTCAAGTACCACCAGCAGTGATCCCTGAGTGCAGAACCAGGAGTTATCCCTGAGGACAGCCAGGTATAGCCCTCTAAACAAACAAATAAACAAAACGCCAGCTTTTCTGGGCCAGGAGTGATGGTACAGAGGGTAGGGCATTTGCCTTGCACGCGACTGACCCAGGTATGATCCTCTGAAGCCCATATAGTTCCCTGAGCAATGTCAGGAGTGATTCCTGAGTTCAGATCCAGATGTAATCTCTGAGCGTCACAGGGGTGGCCCCCAAAGTAAAGAAAATAAATAACTTAAAAAAAACAATACAAACCACAACACCCAATAAGAGAGAGAACAAAAGGGAATGCCCTGCCACAGAGGCAGGGTGGGATGGGGGGATGGCGAGTGGGAGGGATACTGGGATCCGTGGTGGTGGGAAATGGGCACTGGTGGAGGGATGGGTATTTGATCATTGTATAATGGAAACCCAAGCACAAAAATTTGTAAGTCTGCAACTGTACCTCATGATGTCTCACTAATAAAAATTAAAAAAAAAAAACAATAGTTTTTCTCCCGTGAAGCTAGCTGGGCTGGGATTTCTGTTTGAATCTCTAGGCTTTAACTTTCATCCCAAACCTCAAAATGATGTTTTCCACTTTTCTGGAGCTTTGGGGAAAATATCCCTGCGGCCTCAGCCTCCCAACAAAGACAAGACCCTTATTCTTCCACACATACAACAACCTCAGATATGCCCTAACAGCTGTTCGCCACCTCAGGTTCTCAGGAGGATGAGACCATATGACGCAGTACAAGAGTCTGACTTCCCCTGGGAATTGCCACTGTGCATTAAGACCTCCAGAACCAGCCACCACCATGCTGAGACCACTCTCCGCACACATGAAGGTACCGGCAGAGGAACAAAGGCATGCAGGTCCCAGGAATGAGATCTCCAAGCCTACTCGGATAGGGGCTGAGCATCCTCCACCCAGATCCTCCAAATTCCAGTAGGCAGGGGTCACACCCACCAACTGGCCCCCTGGCGCCGTGTAATCCCATCAACAGCCAAGACCCAGAGACTATAAAACCCAGCTCCCAGAAGCAACATCTTATTATCTCATTCCTACTTTGGACAAACTGGCAGGCTACCGAATGTAACCTGCCCACACGGCAGAGTCTGGCAAACTCCCCGTGGCGTACCCAATATGCCAAACACCAGTAACAATGATGGGTCTCATTCTCCTAACTCTGAAAGAGCCTTGAATATGGCACTTTTTAAAAAATCTCAGGGCTAGGACGAAGGAGACGTTTCTGGGGCCTGCTCGAGGCAATCAATGATTAACAGGATAGTCGTGATCGTGATCGTGATTAAGATGTTCACTTGATGGGGCTGCAGAGATAGTAAAGTGGTTAGGACACTTCCCTGCAGACCCAAGTTCCATCCCTATGGTCCTTGAGCCCTACCAGAAATGATCCCTGAGTAGAGAGTCAGAAGTAAGCCCTGAGCTTACTTATAGGTGTGGCCCCAAACCAAAAACCCAAAGCAGGTTTTTACTAGTGATGAAGAGGCTCTGCTGGGGAGGGCTGTCTCTCTAGAATCTATACTCTTTGCCTCATCCTCGTCCACGAAAGGCACTTTCTTACTTGGGGAGGTAAGTCAGCCTGCACTACTGTCTCATCGAGTAGTTGCCCCTGATTGCTGACTTGGCTCTGATAACCACGTGAGTTCTCCAACCTGAGATTGCTCTCCGGGCACACAGACAGAACTCTCCTCCAGTGGGTGCCAAAGAGGTCCACCCACAGGCTCAGGGACTTCGTGGGGATTTCAGGAACATCAGGTAGGCCCCGTGAGTACACAAAACACTGAGATCAAGCTCAGATGCCCTTTAAGAAGTCTAGTCATGCCCTTTGTGTCTGGGTCTCTGAGCCCTGAATTCCCGTCATAAGCTTCTATTCTGTTCTTGGATTTCTGTGCTGTTTCTCTAATCCTCAGCATTGTCACACTGTCCCCTCAGAGCAAGAGAACCTCACCCGGCTGAGGCCAGAGGTGGGATCCACAGTAGGCCTGGACTCTCAGTGCTGGCCTGCCTTGGCCAATTTGCTATATGCCTTGCTGGATACATACCTCTTCACTTCTTATTTCTCTCTGGAGAAAAGCAGCAAATGGTTTCAGATGCTTTTCAAAAGTGAATGTAGGAAAACTAAGTTTAATGCATTAGGCCACTGTTGGCCCGCCTTGGCCAATTTGCTATATGCCTTGCTGGATACATACCTCTTTGCTTTTTCTTATTTCTCTCTGGAGAAAGGCAACAAATGGTTTCAGATGCTTTTCAAAAGTGAACGTAGGAAAACTAAGTTTAACACATTAGGCATCTGAGAGACGTGTTGACATTCCAGAGAATTCCTTGGCTCTTTAATCCTGACTCCAGAGTGTCATAGTGAGGTGGCAGGATGGTTTTGATCAGTCGGTGATAGTAAAGTGCCCTGGACTGTGCAGCTTCAGCAACAGAAATGTGCTTCCTCGCAGACTCTCAAATCAAGAGGTTCGAAATCAATGTGTTATCATGGTTGCTTCTAAGATCCCAAGGGATAATCTGTCCTACGTCTCTCCTCTTGGCTTGTAGGCACCATTTTGTTCCATGTCTTTCTCGTATTCCCCAGTTCTTGTCTCGGATCTAGTCCCCTCATCTCATAAGGATGCTCAGACAGGACTAGGGTTCATGCAAAAGACCTTACTTGCTCATTATACAGTTGTTCCGAGCATTTAGTGTTCCAACACCACCAGTGTGACCTTCCCTCTACCAATATCCCCAGTTTCCCTCCAAATCCCTAACCTTCCCCCTTTGGCACATAATAGATTTACTTTATATTGCTTATTCTAACAAAAATTTAAGAAATGGCAAATAGAATGATCAGTAAGAGTCAAAATAAAATAATAAAATAAATAAAAAGGCCCTCCCGTTGATCATCGATTTGCTCGAGCGGGCCCAGTAACGTCTCCATTGGAGACTTTGTTGTTACTGTGTTTGGTATATCGAATACGTCACGGGGAGCTTGCCAGGCTCTGCCATGCGGGCGAGATACTCTCGGTAGCTTGCCGGGCTCTCCGAGAGGGGCGGAGGAATCGAACTCGGGTCGGCCATGTTGGCTTCGTGCAAGGCAAATGCCCTACCGCTGTGCTATCGCTCCAGCCAGATTGCTATATGATTTTGACCTATGTGAATAAAAAAATTAAATCCATTTAATACAACATAAAATGCCTATTCTCAGGGCTGGAACACTAGCACAGTGGGTAGGGAGTTTGCCTTGCATGAGGCCGACTCGGGTTCGATTCCCTGCACCCCATATGATCCCCTGAGTACCGCCAGGAGTAATTCCTGAGTGCAGAGCCAGGAGTAACCCCTGTGCATTGCCAGGTATGACCCAAGAAGCAAAAAAATAATGCCTATTCATATATATACATATACATATACATATACATATATATAGAGAGAGAGAGCACTGGAGCACTGTCATCCTGTTAATCATCAATTTGCTCGAGCGGGCGCCAGTAGTGTCTCCATTTGTCCCAGCCCTGAGATTTTAACATCATAAACTTTATGCCTTCTCTCCCCAGATATGACATGCCAGCTGGATGTCCTTGGGCATAATGGTGACGCACTTGGCGTGGATGGTGCAGAAGTTGGTATCCTTGAAGAGCCCTACCAGGTAGGCCTCGCACACCTCCTGCAGCGCCATGACGGCCGAGCTCTGGGAGTGCAGGTTGGTCTTGAAGTCCTGCGCTATCTTGCACACCAGCCGCTGGAACAGAAGCTTGAGGATGAGCAGCTCGGTGGACTTCTGGTAGCGGCAGATCTCATGCAGTGCCACAGTGTCGGGCCGGTAGCAGTGCAGCTTCTTCACACTGCCTATGGCTAGTGTACTCTTGTGGGCCACCTTGGTGGCCACCTGCTTGTGGGGCGCCTTCCCGCCCGATGACTTGCGTGAGTCCTCTCATTCTTCCCAACTCAGCTGGAGACTCCTTCAGGGGTAGGGAAATAAGACCCATTTTAGCTACTATTGTTGGCATATTTGGTACGTCACGGGTGGCTTGCCAGGCTCTGCCATGCAGATGGGATACCCTCAGTAGCCTGCTGGGCTCTTGGAGGGGGGGATGGAGGCTTTTGGGGTGATCTGCAGGTGTTCCCAGTCTACCGAATGTAAGCTCCTGGTCACCGGGCCTGCTGTAACAATTTGCATGCTGACAACATGCACCTGCCTGTGTCTCTGGGCAGTGCCTGGGGCATCTGCAGCCTCAAGTTGATCTCCTTGAGGTGGATGGAATGCGCCGGGAGGTCTTTGAATGACTGGCAGAGCAAGACCCCATCGCATAGGGTCTGTGCCAGGTCGAACACCTGTGCCGAGTCCCAAGTCACTCGGTGATTGGAGGACAGCGTCTTGCAGTGGATAAGCCATTGCATGCACTACTGTCACTGTTCCATGCTTGATGGTATTGTGACTCGGCTCAGCCAGGGGAGGCGGTGATGCTGCTGCCACTGCTGCGGTTTTTCCTCACCCCACTGACATCCTTCTCTCTGAATCCCACAAAGCAGCTGATGATGTCCAGCAGAAATAATGCACAGAGTTCCAGCAGGGATCACACGTGGAATTCCATGCCGGGCGTGCTGAGTCACGCATCATTCAGAGCGAGATGGTGAGCCGGGTTCGGGAGAGTGCGAGGGGTTTGACTGGCATTGGTGCCATCTTGCCTCCAACTTGGAGGCAAGATATATATTCAATTTTGGAATCTAAAGTATATCACGTTAATTTTATTTTATACCTGGATCTATTTATGGTAATAATCATGTCTCACCTGTCATTATAATACTTCTAAAGCAATTACGCATTAATATATTTTGATGTTTACACGGAATAGTTAAGGCCTACATATATAACTTTCCCTTTATGTTTTATAAAAACACTATGATTTATAAAAGTTGCTCATGATAATTTGTTACAGGCATTCATTATTACAACACCAATCCCATCACCATTACACCTTCCCTCCACCATTGTCTACAATTTTCCAAACCACCCCTTAAACCTGCCCCCATAGCAGGCCTGAAATAATTTATTTTAATATTTCTTGTTATCAATAACGATCCAAAAATGTTTCCTTAGAATAAAGTTAGTGAAAATTGTTGTATCTCACCATGGAGCCTTTAAACCCTGGTAGAAGAGATTACTAAGATGTTTTTACAGGTTAAGCCTCCATGAAGCACATTTTAAGTGGAAAGGAAAACCTGTCCACATTCTAATGGCAAAGAGAAATTGGGAGACACAAATTCTTTGTGCCAACCCTACTTCCTTGATAATAATGACTCCTCCCATGGACCTGGTGCTGGATCATATACCTACATGATGGTCCCCAAAGCACCAAGGTAACCATCGTGAAATGGGCTTTGGGTTTGCTGCAAATGAATTTGAAAGCCCACTGGAGAAAATGTTTCTTCCAAATCTGTTCTGTAGTTATTTCTCTTAACCAACAATAATGTGGAGAACTCATTGACCTAACTTGACTCAAATTCAGAGGGTAACAAGCTTCAGCAGCAGTTTGGATCTCGTGTTACTGTCTCTTGTCTCTTGTTTATGGATGCATTCATTTCCTTCCAGGGAAGCTCTCTTCCTTCTCTTTGGGGTACAGCTGAATTTCCTCTGTCCTTGTTCCTTTTGACACATTCAAGACATTTGGAATATCATAGGATGAACAAGATCACAGTAAGGTAGCTCAGAATCAAACTGGTGAAAACTGCATCTTGGTGGTATTGGCCTAACTCTAGAAAATTTTTTCCTTTTGTGTGCCTTTCCAGCTGGCTGACATAGGGTGACTCTACAGATAGCCTTCAAACCACAAAGACGTACAGCTAGTCTTCACTTAGCATTGCCAATAGGTTCTTTGAAGCTGTAACTTTAAATACAATGGCAGAACAAAAAAGTATTTGAATGATGTCATTTGTTCAACATCAGTTAGGTCTGTTTTTTTTATGAGCATGCTAAAGAAACAAGGTTGGACACAATGACAACAATGACATTATTTAAGGACCTGCTATTCCTGATCACACTTCATGGGCAGATCCAGGCCACAACAGGGTCTTGGGACAGAAGGCCCCAAGTTGTAAGCTGATGCAAATACTGTAACCCAATCTTATCATTATTTAGGAAGATCTGGCTAAATTGTGGGCCAAGAAGCCACAGATCATGGCGTGGTAGGTTTTTCCCAGGACCTCCATATGCTACAGGGAGCAGAACAAGGCTGGAAGAAAAGTGTCATTCTACCAAGACCCAAACTGTTTGCTAGTTAGCCCTGACATGGCTGGAGTCTAACTTGATATCAGCTGAATGTTACACCAGTTTCTCCATCAGGAGTTTATTCGACTAGAAATCTTCAATGACTCTTCTTCTGAAATGGTGACAAAACTGGAACTCTCATCCACTGCTAGTGGGAATGTTGCCCGGTTCAACTTTTGTGGAAAACATTATGGAGATATCTCAATAAACTAAGAATTGTGCTGCCATGTTACCCAGCAATTCCACAGCTGTATATCTATCCCCAGGGCACAAAAAAATCATTCGAAAACACATATGCATACCACCATTCATTGAAGCAATTATTACAATAGATAAAATATGGAATCAAGCTATATGTCCAGTGACAAATAAATGGAGCATGAAAATGTGGTATATATGGTCCATGGTCCTCCCGTTGTTCATCGATTTGCTCGAGCGGGCCCAGTAATGTCTCCATCATGAGACTTGTTGTTACTGTGTTTGCATATCGAACACGTCACGGGTAGCTTGCCAGGCTCTGCCTTGCAGGCGAGATACTCTCGGTAGCTTGCCGGGCTCTCCGAGAGGGGTGGAGGAATCGAACTCGGGTCGGCCATGTTGGCCGCTTGTAAGGCCCTACCACTGCGCTAGTGCTCCAGCCTGTGGTATATATATATACAATGGAATACTATGCAGCTGTAAGGAAAGATGAAACTGCAATTTGGTGCAACATACATGGAATTGGAATATATATTGAACGTAATTAACCAGAAGCAGGATAAACAGGATTTTCTCACCTATCTGTACTATATAGAACTGCAAATGTTTGAAAAACGGGATGCCTAGTTCACCCGTGGCCCCAGTGTATAAGGAAGAGAGGGGAAGAAAAGGAAAGAAACTGAGAAAGGAACAAGAGATAGGCAGGAAGCAATAGGGGGCAGGAATCAAGGAAATCTGAGTGCACTGATGGTATAGCTAAACATTCAAACCACAGCCTCAACAACACTGAAAACAAGACATCCAAACTTCTACAAACAAACTTAGAAATGTGTCTGTCATCCGCTGACGGGCTCGGGATGAGGGTGGGTGGATGGGAGAGAACTTGGGAAATCTGCTAGAGGGAATAAGACACTGGTGGTGGCACTGGAGCTGTAACATGGTATATCTAAAACTCAACAAAGAATAACTGTAAATCATGTTGATTTCATGTTTTTTTTTAAAAAAATTGTGACTTGGCTTTCTAGGCGGTGTCATCACTGCCATGCTCTTCCTGAAGCAGGGAGCAAACTGCCCTTCCAGACCTGCATGCTCTCAGGCTTCTCACTACTACTAGGCTGAAGGGTCCCAACCCAGGTGAACACTATCCTGCTACAGCATATGATGTTTAAATGAACAGTGAGAACTTGTAGAGCTTATTTATGATCAAACGCATGTGTTTTGGATGAGATTTAATTTCAATTTCAATCTTATTAGTCATGTATCAGGGGTAAAACTTCCCAATCTGGAAGATCTTTGAGGTGGCTCATCCCCTGTGTGAAGGATGGGATTACTGATTTGAGTTTTGTAGACGGTAGGAGATTGCTTGTCTGTGTGTTGAAGGAGGCTGTCTCTGGGTGGACTGCTTTGTGAAAATTAATATACACAAGTCCTATTTCAATAAGATCAAGAGGTTAAACGCATTTCCCGGCAGGCAAAACTCAACAAATTTCAGGACCCAACATGCCTTGCACCTCCCAAAGGGAACCCCAGCGGAAGGAAGAAGGTTCCTCTTTACCCAGCAGCCCCTCCAGAGGATATAATCAGGAGTCAATGGCAGGAATGTGTTTCCAGATATGTGTCAGCAAGCAGTTTTGTCATTGCGTGAATTTCTTAAGGAGTAATTGGGATTTTAAGGGGCTGTGTTTGAGACTCCCATCCCTTTTCTGCAGCCTCAAAGTCCTTTGCTGTGCTTATCACCCTCAAAGAAAGGCCAACCTACAAGTCCTTGAACAACATATCACATAGGAATTCAGGAGGAGGATATATATCTCAACAGAAGGAACCTAAGTTCTAGTTCTAAGAGCTAGTGCAAAGATGGACACCGGTGTTAACCCATCACTGGCATTTCCCCCTCATTTAAATACTGAACATTCCCGGGAGTAGAGGTTTAAGGAACATGGGTCCCATGCAACATGTTCTTTTCACCGTGCTTGTGTACCCAACTTCTTGTACATCTCCACCCATGCATATTTAGAAGCCACCATTTTCCCACCTCTATCCCTTTACAATGGGCTGGAGCGATAGCACAGTGGTAGGGCATTTGCCTTGCGCACGGCCGGCCCGGCAGAGCTGGGTTTGATTCCTTCGCCCCTCTCGGAGAGACCGGCAAGCTACCAAGAGTATCTCGCCCGAACGGCAAAGCCTGGCAAGCTACCCGTGATGTATTCAATATATATGCCAAACACAGTAACAAGAAGTCTCGCAATGGAGACGTTACTGGGCCCACTCGAGCAAATCAATGAACAACGGGAGGACAGTGCTAGTGCTAGTGCTACCCCTTTACAAACATTCTCTGGCCTGAGATTTGAGAGCCAATCAGGACACTCTGCTCTGCACTGTCTCCCTTGTGCACAAGATCATGAACAGTAAATTCAGCCTGAATCTCTCCTTGGCCTCATAGCCATTTCTATTAAGCAGAGAGAGAGAGAAAGAGAGAGAGAGAGAGAGCGCGCGAGAGAGCGAGCCCAGAACAGAATTACACAAACTTAATTGGAATAACCTACTCCACATGTAGACAGATGGTAGAGCCCTTTGGGACTTTGTGATCTGTTGTTAATTACCACATCGTGTATATAAGGGAATGTGGGTCTTTGATCGCAGACATGCAGTTGAATCTTGCCATACTCACCAAACTGCCTTTATTATTGCTGTTTACAAATAATCTCATTTTGTTGCTAAAATAATTAGCATTTTAGGTCAGTGGTTTAAACCCATTTGTCATAGCAGATTTGGACAAGGAACTTTCTTTTCTTTGGTGGGGGGATTAGGTTACACATGAGAGTATTCAAGTCTTCCTCCAGGTTCTGTGTTCAAGGCTCACTCGTGGTGGTCAGTAAGGGACCATATGCAGTTCTGAAGGTTGGAACAGGGTCAGTCACATGCAAAGTAAGTTTTTTAACCTCTGTATTATATCTCTAGCCCAAGAAGACATTTTTTTTGTTTGGGGATCACACATGATGTGGTCAAGGCTTACTTCGAATTCTCAGGGGAGGGGTCACTCCTGGCAGGGCTCAGGGATACGTCATCCCAGGGATAAAACCAGGGTCAGCCGTGTGTAAGGCAAACACCTAACCCCTTTACTATGTTTCTCTGGTCCAAAGAAACTCTTTTACAAAGCAAAATAGCTTCATTTAGGAAATAGAGAAGAGAGAGGAAAAGGAAAATCCATACAGAAAAAAAAGGAACTTCACACCCCAAGTTGAGATGTGGACAATTTTACAGTGGAAAATTACAAGACTTTTCTAACAGCTACATAGTACTCCATTGTGTAAATGTACCAAAGTTTCTTTAACCAGTCATCTGTTCTCGGACACTCAGGTTTTTTCCAGATTCTGGCTATTGTAAAGAGTGCTGCAATGAACAGACAATTGCAGATGTCACTTCGACTATACTTTTTTGCCTCTCTGGGATATATTCCCAGGAGTGGTATTGCTGGATCAAATGGGAGCTCAATTTATAATTTTTTGAGAATCGTCCATACTGTTTTCCAAAAGGGCTGAACCAGTTGGCATTCCCACCAACAGTGAAGGAGTGTCCCTTTCTCACCACATCCGCGCCAGCACCGGTTGCTTTTGTTCTTGTGGATATGGGCCAGTCTCTGTGGTGTAAAATGATAACTCATTGTGGTTTTGATCGAAATTTACATACAAGTGGTACTACATGGAAAGTATCATGTTAAGCGAAATGAGTCAGAAAGAGAGGGACAGGCATAGAAAGATTGCATTCATCTGGGGAACATAAAGTAACAAAATAGGAGACTAACACCCAAGAATGGCCAAGATTAGTACCAGGAATTTTACTCCACGGCTTGGAGGCCAACCACACATACTAGGGGAAAAGGGAGCTCAGATAGAGAAGGGAACACCAAATAAAGGTGTTGGGAGGATGCTCCCAGGATGGGAGAAGCATGCGGAAAGTAGACTATAGACTAAACATGATTGTCACCCATTGCCTCTTTTGCAAACCACAGCACCCAATAAGAGAGAGAGAACAAAAGGGAATCCCTGCCACAGAGTCAGGGTGGGATGGGGGGATGGGGGGTGGGAGGGATACTGGGATCCATGGTGGTAGGAAATGGTCACTGGTGGAGGGATGGGTATTTGATCATTGTATAATTGAAACCCAAGCAGAAAAATTTGTAAGTCTGCAACAGTACCTCATGATGTCTCAACTATTAAAAATTTTTAATAATATAAAAATAAAATAAAATTACAAGACTTTTAACTAAGAGTGGAGTGATTGGTTGGGGGAACCCACTCAGCAGTGCTTAGGCATGATGAATATTGAGTTGGAAGGGACGCTTTCATAAGATGTTTATTCTGGCATCATGGAAGGGAGTTGGTTTGGGACATTCATACTGCTTCATGCCCTGACAGTGTTGTGGTTCATGCTGTACCTAAGGACAAGTTGGTGGCCCTCTTTGGTACAAAGAGTTCTTCAACAACCACCACTTCATTCATGCTTCTGGCAGGTACAATTAGGCAAGATGAGAGATACTCAAAGTTGGGGTGTGCATTGGAAGTGGGGTTGAGATGGCACAAAGATGTGATATTGATAGTCAAACAGAAGCATCTCGATAAAGACAGTCTTGCTTTTCTGTCTTCTGATGATAGCAAGGAGTTAATTTAAAGTTGGTGCTTGGCAAGGACTTGGGAGGGAATGCTATGGACTGTCTGTGAATCGGTTTCTTGGGGATGATGTAAATTTTCTGGAATCGTAGTGACATTGGTTGCACAATCTTGAGAATATACTAAAGTATGTACAATTTCAGAGGGCAAATTTTGGGGTATGTGAATTATAAACCACTTTTTAAAAATATAAAAGAATGGGGTTATAGCTCGGTGGTAGAACACATACTTAAAACTTTTGTTTTGCTTTGGTTTTATTTTTGGACACACCAGGCAATGCTCAGTGGTTACTCCTGGATCTGCACTCAGGAACCACTCCTAGAAGTGCTCAGGGGATCTTATGAGACGCCAGGGATTGAACCTGGGTCTACTGCATACAAGGCAAGTGCCTTATTCGATGTACTATTTCTCTGGCCCCAGTGGCTATGAGGGAATATAATCCCTATAACCTTTCCCTCAAAACATTAAAAACATGTGGGGATGGAGTGTTAGCACAGCAGGTAGGGCATTTGTCTTGCATGCGGCCGACCCAGGTTTGATTTCCAGCATCCCATATGGCCTCCTGAGCACCACCAGGAGTGATTCCTGAGTGCAAAGCCAGGAGTAACTCCTGAGCATCACTGGTGTGACCCAAAAAAGCAATATAAAATAAAGTAAAATTAAATTAAATTAAAAACATGTAATACGAGTAATACAAGGATCATGAGTGGGTTAACCACCGCACCACTGCCTCTGCATCCCAAGGCTGGAGCGATAGCACAGCGGGTAGGGCGTTCGCCTTACAAGCGGCCAACATGGCCGACCCGAGTTCGATTCCTCTGCCCCTCTCGGAGAGCCCGGCAAGCTACCGAGAGTATTCGATATGCCAGACACAGTAACAACAAAGTCTCCAATGGAGACGTTACTGGGCCCGCTCAAGCAAATCGACGATCAACGGGAGGGCCTTTTTTTTAAATTTAAAAACATGTAATAAAGTTGAATAAAATATCAGAGAAAAGCATATTTGGTATTCATCTAAGTGAGAACCAAGGTTTTACACCCTTGGCCTCTGTTCTTTTCGGGCTTTTAGAACTTTTTTATTTAATGCCTCTCTGACCATAATCTCTGTAAACTTGCAATGGGCACAAGGAGGCCAATATGCAAAGGAGGCCAATACTGAAGGAGAATTCGTCTAGAAAATTCTGGAGAGGCTGCCCAATCTTTCTAGCTGCTAAAAGCTACATCCTTTCGAAAAAATTTAGACACCTTGAAATTGCGAAGTTATTGATGATTGGGTTTCAGACATACAAAGTTTAACACCATCCCTTCACCAATGTCCACTTTCCTTCACCAACGTCCTCCTCGTTTGCTTCCCACCCACCAGTCTGCTTCTAGGAGACATGATTTTTCCCACAGTTCCCAAAGTGGTTCATGATTGGGTTTCAGTCATATCAAATGTTCTAAGACCCATTTCTTAACCAGTGTACATTTCCTGCCACCAATGTCCTCAGTTCCTCCCCTCCCCAGCCTGCCTGTGTGGCAGACACTTCTTTCTCCCTCTCCTTCTCTCTTTCCTCTCTCCTCTCTCTCCTTTTAGGCACTATAGTTTGCAATACTATTACTGAAAAGTTATCATGTATATCATTTCCTTTCATCACTCAGTTCTTGTCAAGTGATCATTTTCAGTTATCATTGTCATAATGCTCCCTCCTCTGTCCTAACTAACTGCCCTTCACCTCCCTCACAACTTATGGTAAGCTTCCTACCATGACCTGGTCCTTCTTGCCCTTGTTTCCACTGTCTTTTAGTGTTATTCTCATACTATGTTTTTTGATATCCCACAAATGAGTGTGATCATCCTATGCCTGTCTCTCTCTCTCTGACTCAGTTCACACTGCATGATACTCGCCATGTCATCCATTCATAAGTAAATTTTAGGACTTCATTTATCCTAACAGCTGCAGTATTCCATTGTGTAGATGTAACATAGTTTTTTTTTTATCCACTCATCTGTTCTCTGCCACTTGGGTTGTTTCCAGATTCTGGCAATCATGTCTATACATGATTATGCTATAATGAATATTGGAGTGCAGGTGACTTTTATGCATTGTTTTTGGCCCATTGGGGTATGTCCCCAAAAGTGGTATTGTTGGGTCATATGAAAGCTCAATTTCTAGTTTTTTTTAGGAATTACCATATTGTTTTCCAAAAAAGGTGGAACCAGTCGGCATTCCAACCAGCAATAAATAAGAGTCTCTTTCTTGCAACATCCATGCCAGCACTGGTTGGTTTTGTTCTTTTGGATGTGTGCCAGTTCCTGTGGTGTGAGATGATATCTCATGGTTGTTTTGATTTGTGTCTCCCTTATGATTGGTGATGTAGAGCATTTTTCATGTGTCTTTTGGCCATTTGCATTCCTTCTTTGAGGAAGTTTCTGTTCATCTCTTCTCCCCATTTTTGATGGGTTTGGATGTGTTTTTTCTTGTAAAATTCTACTAGTGCCATATATATACAGATATATATGTGTGTGTGTGTTTGATATTAACACCTTATCAGATGAATGTTGGGTAAATATTTTTTCCTTTGTACAGGCTGTCTTTGTATTCTGGTCATCATTTCCCTTGAGGTGCAGAAGCTTCGTGATTTAATGTAGTCCCAATTATTTATCTTTGCTTTCACTTGCTTGGTCAGTGATGTTTCATTCTTAAAGATGCCTTTAGCTTCATTCTTAAAACACGTTTCCACCTATAAACATCACCAGAGTGTTCAATACAGACCCCAAAACAGTACAGTTAATGTAAAATAATCATTCCTATTCATACATTTTCACCTTGCTTATCCCAATTCAACTTTTAGGGACCTGCCGCCTCTCCCTACTACTTAGGTCAAGATGGTCAAAATGCCCCCATCATCACTCCACACAGAAAACCATTCCCTGAAAAGACTCCCAGCTCCTCCCACTGGGACCAGTGAGACATGAGTGGAGTTCATGTGCATGTCTTTGGGAAGTTGGAGGAAAGCGAGATCTGAACATACCAACCACACAAAGACAGGTGTCACCGGATGACTTGCTTAGGAAGAGGAGTACAGCTGTCAATAAACAGAGTGCTGGATTTAGGAGTGCCAGATTCTTCTCTATCATTTGCTACCCAGGAAACTTGGCAATCATCTCTTCTCAGAAGTTCAGTTTATCTGGTTCCCAGAGATAACTCTTCATCTGGGATAGGCTTTGGTGGCCTTTTAATGAGAAAATGGAGCTGTCTGATTCAGGAGGTGCAGGTTTCTGTCTTAGTGAGCTCAATTCATGTACCTCAAATGGTTGGTATCTGAGCATCCATTTGCCCTTTTATTCAGACTTGCTCTATGACAATGGAGCCTGTTATGCCCCCTTGCCCAAGGTGAGATGCTCAGATCAAAGCAGGGTTGTGGCCCAGGGGTGTTGACAAGGTTCCAGCTCCTGAGTCTACCACGGGCTATGTGGCGTGGGACACAGTCTCATCATCTGTATGGTCCAAGGATAACCATGGCTGCACAGTGATAGTCCCCCTAAGCATGGCCTACATTGTTTCCTGCTTCACTAGCCCTGGGTGGGGTATGTAGATTGCATTCTCCCACCCGGTCTGGTAACTTGGTTATTTCTACTCTGTGCTGAGAATTCCACTTGTTTAGCTCTCACCTAGGATCTCAAATTCCATCCAGCCCCAAATCTTTGAAAACACACCCCCCAATCCTGTCTCCTACCGTCAAAGAGTGCTTTCTGACCCCATTTAATGTACTTTCAGAAAAATGTGGTCTCCTAGCTCAAATGAACATGGCAGGTGCTTGACCTAAATTGGTTATGATTTTCAAGTCCCTTCTTCTATCCCTACAAACAGATCCAATATGGGATCTTTCCTTAGAATTTTTGATCATTAGAAAATGAAAGGGACATTTTTAAAGAAAATCACCATTTTCACTAGCTTTCAAGTTCAGGAGCCTGAAGCAGTCAGCATGTTACACAATCACCCCTACCAGCCCTCCTCATAACTCCTCTGGCCTCCTGAACTGAGCTCTTGTCCCCAGTAAGCACTAAGAAGCATTTGTTCCTCCCCCTGCCCCTGACCATTGCCATTTGACTTCCTTTCCTTTTTCCTTTTGTTTTTGAGCCACACCTGGTTATGCTCAGGGATGATCTCTGCATCTGCGCTTAGGAATCATTTTTGGTTGGACTTGGACCACAATATCGGCTGCCAGGTATCGAACACGGGTCAACCATATGCACGGCAATAACCCTACCTGCTACATTATCATTCCAGTCCAACCACTCATTTTCTATCTGTGAGTTTGACAGCATTATGGAGCTCCTAGATGTGAATTTGTATTTTTTCCACTATCATGTGCAAGTTTTTATCCATGTGATAGCATATGTCTAGTTTTCTGTCCTTTAGAAGGCTGGGAAATAGTTCACAGTATGGACACAGTCTTGCCTCACTTAACACTAGGAATCTGTTCTGAGAATACCTTGCTAGGCGGTCTTCTCGTGGTAGGAATGCCACACAGCTTCCTACACACTTAGGCTACCTGGAAGGTCTCTGCATACGTGGCTATCATTAGTTGTTAAGTGACATGTGACATTTGATTCTCCATCTAATGATGGAGATGGGAGGATTTCCTGAGTTGGATTCTACTACTTGGGAGTTGGTGGGTGGGGGAGAAGAGCAGGGGAAATATGGAAGAAAGGGGAAATATAGAATTCAGGGTTCCAGCCCACCCCCCAAAATAAAACCACTTCCCCTCCCTTTCAATCCCCTTACAAAGCTTGGATTAAGCTGAGGTGGGATGAAAACAGAGGGCCCCTGGGAGAGAAGGCTGCT